GGGCGCCACTGAAAACAGTACCATCAGCGAAAATGCGACTAGCTCGCCACTACCACTCGATATCGACAAAGAGCTGGCTGCCATGGCCGAATACAATTTGACGGATCGTGATTACGAACAAATGGCCGGATACAAATTAAAGTAGGGGCTAACAAAAAGTATTCTCGGCTACGGTTTACTTGACCTCCAAGCCCGATAGTCCAAAGTTTTCGCTCTTCTTGCTATTTTTCGGGATTTTCTCAACACCATTCAATAGAGCATCAAAAAAATTCTATGCAGTGTTTTATTTTCAGCCAAAAATAATTTAATATAACATAGTTACGGCAAAAACAAGATTTAATTGCTCTTTATGGGAACTCTATTGTATCCCTATTGTGCAAAGCTAAATTTCAACATTAACGAAATTTTTACCGAATTTCTTTAGCGCATTCGATAGAGCATCCAAAAAATATCCCAAGGGTTCTAATTGCAACCCAAAATATATGTAAAATAAAATAGTTATGGCATATAGGCAAAATTCTAATGAGCTGTTAAACCAATTTTAATTGTATGAATTTAATATTGAATTTTTCGCAATTTTCAGAGGCGGGGATAGTAAGATAGTAATAAGAATTAATTCTAAAAACCATTACTTCGAAAAGTCATTCAAGTCAAGCCAAGTCTGAAATTCCTACGGTCGTTTGGCGAATAAATATGGCCAAATTTGGCGAACACCGATAATCCGACGCAAAAACGTTTAGAAGTGATGACTTTTAGAAGCAACGATCGTCCCACCGTATTCTCCACTCTGATTTTCAGATTCTTGGGCATACATCCTTTTGCCAACGTGTTGTTGCGAGCGGCCCTGGATGTTATTGAAGCTGAGGAGATGCGCTCGGTGCTCGGCTTCCCGCGCACGGGGCTATGGAAAAATTATAGAAACCAGAATGACGATCAGCTCCAAGCCACGACCACTCTCGAAGCTTATTATGAACTTAAGGAGTCTGTTCCAGTTGGAGTTCTCTTCAACGGCCTTTGGTTTTTCGAGCACAACTACCCACCCGCCGTCGCTTTCATGGACGAACGTTTCCCGGTTATACGCACGGTTTTTAGGCGTAGGTTAGAAGCCGTTTGTAGCCCTGGCGCGGCCGTAGATCGGCAACTAATTGATCGCGTGGTAGATGAGCGGGATTCCATAGCGGCCTCTAGAATGCTGATCTGGCCAGTGGATCAATTGTTTCGAGAAGATTTCAGCGATCGAGAAATAAATGCTATAGATTTGCATGCCAAGGATGAAATTGAGTAAACTTTTCTAAGATACCCCTCAACTTGTATAAGTTTATTCTTGAGAAAGAGACGCGTAATAATAAATATATGCTGTTTTCTTGGTGGCAAACGCTATTACAGATACATTGACATGTACGTTCCATTCTGCCGGAATTTTCCGAGCAGAGCAGAATTCCCAACCATTTTTGAACATGTTGCTTTTTTGTCAGGATTTTGGTTAGGTTATTCGATAGAACATCAAAAAATCTCATAAGAATTTGAATTTTAGCCCAAAAAGTTGTAGCGAAAATCTTTCCGGAACTTCCGGCTGGGGGGAAGGGTAAAGCAAAGCCTTACGCAAAAGTTTCTTGGAGGTAGTAGCTTCTCTCTTACGCTCTCTCCCTCTGGATCTTTCTCGCTCTCTCTCGCTCTCTCGCTCTCTCTCTCTGTCTGTCTCTCTCGCTCTCTCGCTCTCTCTCTCTCGTTCGCTCTCCGTCTCTCCCTCCCTCCCTCTCTCTCTCCGTCCCTCCCTCTCTCTCTCTCTCTCTCTCTCTTTCTCTCTCTCTCTTGCTATCTCGCTATATCTCTCTCTTGCTCTCTCGCTATATCTCTCACTCTCATTCTCTCTCACTATCGCTCTCTCACTCCCTCTCTGACCTTCTCTCACAATATCAAAATTAGGTCGAGCTATCCCTCTTCTCATCCTGTTTGAATGCATGCACTCAAACCGCACCTTTCGAGAATATTTTAATAATTGGGCTCAAACGCTTTTCCATCCGTCCGGCTTCCGCTTACAAACTTCCTTGAATGTCTCAAAATAATTTTTTTCTAAACAAAACTATGAAACCAGCCTTTCTTCTCCTGATCATTTTTGCAGCTCTCGCATCAGCAGGTAGGCGTCAACCTTTTTTGGGATCGTTCGGAAGGGAATGTGGTGATGGCAAATTTCACTAACGCATGCAAACCATTTTACGCCCGATTTTCACGAAACATAATTGATGATTTTCAGAATGCAGCACTAGTATTAACAACAGTATTGCGGCCATCTCAGCATCGACGGAGAGCGGCCCGGACAATAGCGATGACGCAAATGAGACGACCACCGTGCCTTCATATCACGACATTGAATTCCGAAAAGAACTGGCTAACATTTCTCAAACCTGCCTCAACCACACGGAGCACGAGCTGCTAGCTGGGAATATATTTCCGTAAGGAGCTGAGATACTGCCATAATATATGGACGTAATGTGGCCACTTTCGTTATGTTCCGAAAAGAGTCACGTTTCGTTGCGAAAAGCGTGAAATCTCTGAGAAAAATAGGCAATATTGCGGCGCTGTTTTGCCTACTTTTGGGCGGTTTTCCGCTTAGCAAGCTATTTTCGGCTTGCGGCGCTGTGCTTCGTCTATTTTTTTTAATTTTTTCAAACAAAGCAAAAACCACAAAGGTGACCTACAACCCGCGAAGCGGGAAAATGTTAAAATATTGTGTCTGTGTGGATTTGTGGGACTTTATGTGCAACTTCCGTCACCACGTGCAACTTCTGGGAAGACGGAAAGCATATAGGATTTTGCTAAATAAGCAAACTCTAAATTTCGGTTTTTCTAAAAATTTCTGGCGCCTTTTTTGTTAGGGCCCCGGGAAGTGGCGGACCCATATAATTGGGCGAGGCAGCGCTTTGCATTTTTTTGGGCTACGGTTTACTTTACCCCCCCCAGCCGGAATGTTTTTGCTATAACTTCTTTATTTTACATTATTGTAGGCTCAAATTAAAGCTCTTGGTATATTTTTTGATCCCCTATCGAAAGGGATTGCAAAAATCCCGACAAAAATGCAAATATACCGAAAACTTCGAAACCCTTCGGCTGTGGGGGAAGGGGTAAAGTAAACTCTTACCTTTTTGTCATCGGAATTCATGAGATCATGCAAAGTGACGACTATAACACCTTCAGACAGGGCCAGGGGTGAAAAGCTGCGAAGCGCCTTGTTAACCCTGGTTTAAATTAATCCTTTATTCCGTTTAGATTCTCAGTGGTCGGAATGCAAACGCATAAACTGACGGAAATGGCCGTGCAGATCATTGGCAATCAGGAGATGCGAGCGGTTCTCGGCTTTCCCCCGCCCGGTCCCTGGATCCACTTTCGGAAACCGTCTGAAGATGAGCTCAAGGCCGCACAAACCGTAGAAGCGTACTACGATCTCAAGGAACCATTCGACCCACAACGTTCGCTCGATAGTTCCTATTTTTTTTGAAGACAATCTTCCACCCGCCATTAAATTTGTCGATCAGCGCTTTCCAATCATTCGCACGATTTTCAGGCGTAGGTTTGCAGCTTTGCGTAGCTCTGCCTCGATCGTAGATAGAAAATTGATCGATGGTTTGGTCGAGGAATGGCTTGTTATTTATAGGCGAATCAGGAGAGCGTTCAAACCAGTGTTTTTCCGTAAATGGACCTGGTGATAACAAAGAATCGTTTTGCGCAGGCTTGGCGCATAATTAAATAATTGTATATGCCAAAAGATTATCCAACGCTAGATCTATTACAATGCTATTTGCAATAATTAATAAATATTTATTCGGTAGAAATGGGCGAATAGAAGTCTAAAAATACTACAGGGTGTCCCAATAAAAACACCCCCTCCTCAGGTATCGGACCGGAATAAAAGTTCCACCAGTCGAAAGCACTTAAAACGGCGAGTTTGCAACGATCTTCAAATCATCTTTTGATCTAAACCTGCGATTTTACCACGCATTTGATAACATTAAGGAACCGCATTTGCATCTAATTAACGGCCAGTTCCGGCGATTTTCCGTGGAGAAATTGAGCAAACTTAGCTTGTAGACCGCAAAATTTTACAAAATGCCTTGCTCCTTAAAGGGGCTCCGAAATCTGGTCCACGGCCCCCTGCTGTGATTCCTGGCAAATAGCCAGATGCGACCGCGCCGCATGGTCTTTTGCCCCTGTTTGGACGCGAAAACGCTTGAATTTAAAATTCTGTGCGTTTTGGAATCCTCAACGAATTTGGATCATTCCAGACTTTTAAATTATGAAAATTGATCAGAGAATCGCCGAGATCGAGAGATTGGGTGCCTTACGAGGCATTACGACATGTAATCGCCGCCCACTCAAAAGGTCGTTTTCGCCCCAAAAAGAATTAAGTTTTTCTCAAATATTTTACGTTTTTTTCGCAATCAAATCACTTTTCTGGCACTCCTCGGCAGCGACCCTTTGGTTTTTTTGACCCGTAGGTTCAATCCCGGCACGCACGAATTTTGACTTCCGAGCCCCTTTAAAGCGCCTTTAAATAAAAAAAATCAATGACTGTTTTCAACTTTGACCATTTCTCCACCAGACGAGCGGTAGAAAACGTTCCAAGCTAGATTTTGATAGTGGAATCACGACGATCGCGAGGCACAACGTTGACTTCAAGGCCTTCTAAGATCCGTGTTCTTCCTTGCCAAGTAGCACAATGTCGACATGTCATGTCACTGCATGACAGCCCAAGCACCCGATTTATTACGAAGGGACGGAGGTACAAACTACATGCGATGGCAAACAGAATGATGGACAAACATAGATTTACAAAAGAAAATACAGAGAGATGGGGATAGAGGGGCGGGGCTTCTAGAGGGGCGTTTTTTGGTGTTGCATCGAGTATGTTTGGGTGGTAGACGAGTGATGGCGATGCCCATCTTTGTGTCGAGTAGGTGGAGACGTGTAGTCGGATGGTTCTGAAAAGTAGATGATATTCCTCAAAATATCGCAAAGCACTTACACTTTGCGCCAGTGCTTTCGCTAGCATCCGTTGCTCCCTCCTCGGTGTTGCTGATCGGCGTCACGTCGAGGTCGACGACCGCCGAGCCAGCGCCGACGTTCATCTACAAAAAAAGGCCATTGTGGATTTGGCATGAGCCGCAGGCAGCGCTCATCTACCCACCATGTCATCGACAATCGGCTTCTTGCCCTTCGGGCCCTTGTCCTTCTTTTTCAGACAACAGCACAACACGATGATGATCACGATGATGAACACGCAGAGGCCGCCACCCAAGGCTGCAGAAACGAGGTGAACAAATACAACCAAATGTTCTACCTGCAATCAAGATGACCTCATCCCCCAGCCCGTCATTCGGTTTCTCGGTCGTTGTCTTTGCAGTCGTCTTTGCCGTTGTCGTCGTCGAGGCTTTTGTCGTACTTGTTGTCATGATTGAGCCGACGCAATGGTACTGAAAAAAGTGTTCATCTACCTTCATCCCTTCACAAGTCTCCCACTTTCAGCCTCTCCTCTTCCGTCAAAGCACTGCACTGCTTGTAGACGACGCATGGGACACCTTCGACATTTTTCTGGTAGTAGAGCAGATTCTTGCGCCAATCCCTCGCATCCGGCTGAAATACGGCAATTGTCTCGTGGTAGATGATCATCTTCTGTCTGAATGACGACTAGAAAACCCACAGCACGTCCTTCGACATTTCCTCGACACTGCGGAATCGGATTGCACGGTGGGTTGAGTGACCACGGGTCTTTGTGAGTCGACTTCTCCGCGTCGCACCAATCCATCTTTTCCTGTAAAGAGTATTGTGGCGAATCAGAGGAGATATCTACCGTTATACTGAGGACACCGAAATAGTCGTTTTCCGGATTGCTAGGGATGGGTCGACAATCCGGTTTGTCCGTCAATCCACGGCCATTCTGGTTTCTTGGACAAATATCCATGCAGTTCAGCAGATCTCCGTTTTCAGCTACAGGTCTCAGGTATTTTTGTCTGTAAAATACAGGGGATAATGGATGAGACTGTGATGCGGACTGACTCATCGAATTCTCCCGGTTGATCCAGTTTGCAGAACGGCAGTACCATACATCCCCAACTCGCCACATTCTTCGGCTCGAACTGATTGCCGTGAGGATCGGTGCACCACTGAAAATGACATCATACTTCGGACGGGGAATTGTCACCGCCATGTGATCCACAACGAAACGATGCTCACCGGCTTGTATCTGCCCTTGCCGAGGATGTAGGTCTTCAACGGACGCGGGTAGCAGATGCGAGCCAGCGAGTCATTGGCCAAGATTTCACTTGAAAGGGGTGGAGAATGGTTGGAACGAATGAATTGTGATGCTACCTAGGAAAGGCATTCTGCTCCTCGCACCATGTCCCTTCGTAACATCCAAAATGCAGCTTCATCGAGGCCAACGCCAGTTCATTCGCAGTCTAAACTCAGAACCCTGGTAGAAAAGTGAATAACCAACCAGTTTATCAAAATCTTCCCGGCGGCACTTGGGGTTGTAAGTGGGGTTGATCGGGTAGTAGATGAACACGTTCGGGTCGTCATCTCGCTTGGTGCGCTGACGAAGACGGATCCGCTTGATTGGCGCTCCAGAAGCCGCAACGTCACGATGGACGCGCTGGAGAATTATCATTATTGGTGTTTCGACAAAGGTTGTTTGAGAAAACTGGGCACAAGAACGAACCTCCTCTGGCTTGTAGAAAGGGCCTGTGTGGCCGAAGTGCCACTGAAAGCGAGTTTCTCAAAAGGCGCCGAATAACCAGAGTGCAGGGTCCGTGGACGGCTCAATTATCCCAGTTTCTACTAGATGTTTTCAAAATCGCCCTTCTACATTGATATCCCTTGGGTTATTTAAAAAGTGTTTTAATAATGTTCTTAGTAAAATTTAAGGCTCAAGTCTAGGAAACCCCCTCCCACTTTTCACCTCCTATATTTTTCCTACTTTTTCGACTGAACGCATGTGTCTTGCTATTAGCCTACGGCGAACGTTTTGATACTTTAGAGCACGCTGGCACAAAGGGGGGGGGGGGGCGAGATACAAAAGTTGGTGCCGGCTAGGGGGGGGGGGGTTTCTATACTCTTACCAAATCTAACGTTTTTAAGGGTAATTTTGCGTAATATTAATTTTAAGGGTCGGGGAACATGGAAGTTGTCCCCAGGACACCCTTGCAGAACAGCTGGCTCACCCAGTCGTCGTCCCCAGGATACCGGTGCACATAGACGGCATATAGATGGTGGTATCGACAGTTGGGATCCCTCGACATATAGTAGATCTGAAAAAAGAAATGCCAGAACGCCAGAAATTCGAGAAAATGAAACTGCGCTATGGAAACCGAGAAGGGCCGAAAACATGATAGGCTGTACCTCACTTTCCAGGATGCACCTTATTTGACAGGAAGGATGAGCGCTATTTTCATCCCTCCAGCACCCATGGCAGTCCTGATGATCTTGCCATTCGGGACGAGCACAGTTCAGGCAATACGGATCCGCGTCGTCACACTGAAAACAGCCTCGGTTCTTTCGGTGTAACATGAGGGCACAAGATTCTAAAAATGCACGGAAAATCTCTAGGACCATCTATGGTCAACTGAAAAGTACACATATGATAACCAGGGGGGACACTCAAAATGTTTTTATAATAAAAATATTTTTAAATATGGTTTTTCTGCTTATACAAAAATCTCTGACTGTAACCCTCTTATGGTCTGTTGTGGTGCTAGCTTGCTAGACCACAATAGATCCTCTTTCCCGGCTGTCCCTCCTATCCAGTGGGTAAGCCACCGGCGCGCGCCCCCCTGCGGTCGCGTCGCGTGCGCCACTTCCCGCCTAAGACTAGATTGTATTATCTCGTTGCGGGTCCACTTATCGGCACAGACTAGCTCTGTTGCCGATCCTCCTGCCTCCACTTTATGTAGATAAACAGTTGTTTGATACTGTTGTCCGAAGCGCATTCTACTTCATTCCAAGAACACAACACTGGCGAGCAGGATCATCAAGAACTCACGCAAGAACAAGGAATTCCAAGCCAAGAAGCCACTCGTGCCCAAGCAACGTGATCAAGGATGAAGAAAGAAGGTGAAGCGCAAGAAGTCAAGTCAAGCCGACGAGACAAGGACCAAGAAAGCGACAAGGTCAAGGAGAGCGACAAGGTCGAGGTCAGGGACGTCTACATGGTTGGCGAGCGACAAGGAAGGCATGGCGAGAAGATCAAGAAGCAGAGCGTGCAGATGATGGCCATCGATGGATGATGTGCCGGTGGCCGCTCGTGCAGGATCAGTTGAAAGGGAGGTGTTTTGTTCCCCTTTTTGCCCCCACATTTTCGGGTGGAGGGCGCGCTGCCGTTGTCGATGAAGGAGGAGGGTGCAAGCGCAAAAAGAAGTGCCCGGCGTCCGGCCGCCGTTTTGCCCCAAGGACCGCCCAGAAGCCGCGAAGGTTGCAGAAGAAGAAAGAAGTTGGTTAGTCCTCACCCACGAAAGGACCGAAGGAGCGTGCTGAAGCTGGCGGATCATTGATGGATGAAGGGCCGCTGCCGCTGCCATGGACCGAAGGAGGTGCGCGTGTCAAGCCCAAGGCCGCGTCTACAAGTGAAGCCGAAGAAGGAAAGAAGGATGATGGCCACGTCGTGTTCGTGCGCGTGTTCAAGGTTGAGGGAAGGAAGATTGCCACGTCGTGTTCGTGTGCGTCGTAAGAAGAAAATAAGCAAAAATAAGTGTCATCTTATTTTTTGGTGTGTATTTCCATATACTGTAAATCCGGCTAAGCCTTATTTGTCTCTCCTGTCCCAATTTCTCCTAGGAACTTGTACTTTGTTGTTGTACAAGGGGAGGTGTTGTGGTGCTAGCTTGCTAGACCACAATAGATCCTCTTTCCCGGCTGTCCCTCCTATCCAGTGGGTAAGCCACCGGCGCGCGCCCCCCTGCGGTCGCGTCGCGTGCGCCACTTCCCGCCTAAGACTAGATTGTATTATCTCGTTGCGGGTCCACTTATCGGCACAGACTAGCTCTGTTGCCGATCCTCCTGCCTCCACTTTATGTAGATAAACAGTTGTTTGATACTGCTGTCCGAAGCGCATTCTACTTCATTCCAAGAACACAACATGGTCGAAGTGGAAATTCCATACGTGAGATAGCACAACTTGTGCAGAATTTTTTGCTGATTGAGAATCTGCTTTCAAAAGTTGCGAAACCCCTCAGATTAAAAGGTTACAATCGTTTTTAATACCCAAAATGCCACAAATCGCCTACTTTTAAGCGTTCTAAAATTCCGTAAAATACTTGGTAAGACTCCAGATAAACCCCCCCCCCCCCCCAGCCGGCACCCAACTTTTGTACCTCGGCTCCCTGTTCATCTACAGGTGTGTAAAGTATACCAAAATGTTCGTCTTGCTCTGGCGAGTATTTTGGTATACTTTACACACCCGTAGATGAACAGGGAGCCGAGATACGGTAGGTGGGGGTCGGCTGGGGGGGGGGGGGGTTATCTGGAGTTTAGCCAAATACTTTTGTGGGGAGAGTAAGGCGTCCGCCGAGGTAAAAAAACAGCTCTTTTGAATCGGCTATCTCACGAACCCGTAGCTCAACATGGCCGATTTTTAAGATTTAAAATTTTAAAAAATTTAAAATAATGAGCGCCCCGCCCCGGGGAATAAACCCCCTTGAACCCCTGTGTCCCCTTTTGACCCTTACAGCTAGCGGTAAAAACTCGCTAGAGGAGTGACCCGATATCGCAATTTTCGCAGGGTTAAACCTCATCAGCATACCGGACAATCCTCGACGGCAATCCCTTCGCATTTTGGGCAGCGACCCGCTTGTATGTTCCTTTCGTCAGCAACAGGTTCTCCCACGTCGCAGTCGACGCACTGGTCGAAGGGTTCTTTCAAGGTGTTGCACTGAAATGGGGAATCAGATGACTCCGTGCTATGGCAAAAAAAAATTGGTTCTGGACGGATAGCGTAGCGGCGGCGGCGCCGGGGGTTTAGCAGCGGGAAAACCCCTTTATGTTTTCCCACCTATACAGGGTGTCCCAAAAAAAACGACCCATCTGGCATTTCGCCGTGTTACATCCAATCGGTCCCAAATTTGGACCAGAGGTGTATCGGACCCTAAATAACAACAATCCTGACTTATAGCCCTGTAGCAATAGTAGTTCTCGAGTTATAGCGAAAACAAACTTTATTTTCCATTTTTCATAGTTTTCATGGAAATAGACCCCCTAAACATTAAGCGAAAATGATCCAGTAGGCCTTCTTCACCCTAAGAAATTTTTTCCAGAGTAAAATTGATTAAATAAACTTTGATTTAAGTTTACATTTGTTTAATTTTTACAGATTTGATTACAAATTTTACAAATTTTACAAATTTTTACAAATTTGATTTCGATTTTTACAACGCAAAATTACGCAAGTTCTTTAGCGAAATTAGGGATTCACAGCCGGAAGTCGATGCAAATCGATGAAAAGTCCGAAAAGATAGCCGAAAAAATGCTTCAGAATTCCGGGAAAAACAGTGTTTTCCTTATAACTCGAGAACCACGATAGCTACGGGGCTATAAGTCAGGATTGTTGTTATTTAGGGTCCGATACACCTCTGGTCCAAATTTGGGACCGATTGGATGTAACACGGCGAAATGCCAGATGGGTCGTTTTTTTTGGGACACCCTGTACTTAACGCCCCATCCTCTATTATGTATTTTTAGTGCTTTTTGGTAGTTTTTGATTGCTGGAAAATTAAAAAATATACCTTAAAAATGAAAACTCAAAATGTTGACCATTTTTGGCCATTTTATTTTACATAAATTTTTTGATCCAAAAGAGTCGCAATTTTCGAACATGTTGGAATGTTTTTGATAAGGCTTTGATATCTAAAACCTGAGCAAAATGCTATAAAAATGGTGTATATTTTGTTATAGGGCCGTGCGGAATTACTCGGGGGAAATCAACCACCGACCTTTCGGGCATCCGGTTTGAGCACGAACACGCCAAAGGGGGCCTTCGTGGTCGTTGTAGTCGTCGTGGTTGTAGTTGTGGTAGTCGTAGTCGTCGCCGTCGTTGTAGTGGTAGTGGTCGTTGTCGTGGTGGTGGTCGTTGTAGTGGTGGTGGTCGTTGTGGTGGTGGTGGTGGTGGTGGTGGTGGTGGTGGTGGTGGTGGTGGTGGTGGTGGTGGTGGTGGTGGTCGTGGTGGTGGTGGTCGTTGTAGTGGTGGTCGTTGTAGTGGTGGTCGTTGTAGTGGTCGTGGTCGTTGTGGTGGTGGTGGTCGTTGTTGTAGTGGTCGTCGTCGTGGTGGTAGTTGTCGTAGTTGTCGTGGTGGTGGTGGTTGTCGTCTAAAATCCGTATCCCAAGATTATGACATTGCCAAACCGATGTAGTGGTGGTGGGATCGGGCGGAACGGCGGCGTGCTCCCATCCAGCAAGGCAGATCCCCCTCGGCCCATCCTTCGGCTGATCCTTCGTCGAGCATCCCCCTTCTTTCTCGATGAACAGGTCGAAGTTGCAGTTCAGCCACATCGTCTTGTTGAAGACCTAAAAGCAGAGGGTTTGATACTAATGAGTGACGATTATTGCCTTGATGTGCGAATGATTGTCGCAGACTGCACCGGGGGCCACAGGGCAGTGGCAGAGGGCATTCTGAAACAGAGAGTGAGAGAGAGAGGAGCGAGAGCGAGAAAGATAGAGAGTGAGACAGAGAGAGAGAGAGAGAGAGAGAGAGAGGAAGAGCGAGAGGGAGAGAGTGAGATGAAACCTACATCCGCAGCCGACCGCTGCTCCGGATCCCTGACGACGAAGCAGGCGAGAGGTCGACCGTAGCCTTCCGGGCAGCCCTGCAAAAGAGTGCGTGATAATGACATCAAAAGAGGAGTTTGAATTTGAAAAAAATTTGTACCTCTTGAGCATGAGCGCCCGGAAGGTGGATGGCGAGGAGCAGGAGCAGGGCGACGAGCATCAATTGGCGCAGCATGCTGACGACCATCCGTGGCCGAGGACGAATTCGTATGATGCCCCAGTGTCCGAAATCCATTTTCTACCAAATTTTAAATGCAAATGTGGGGCAACTTCCGGTTCGGCTAGGCTAAATTTGTTGCAATGGAGAACCCGCGGAAATGATGGTTTATGCAAAATTTGTGGCCGTAATTTAGGCAACATTTTTCGGTCGTCCCCATTGAATCGTGGTTTTCAGAACTCTTTTTGTGATTTTTGGGATCTTTTTTTTGTGATTTTTGAGATTGTGATTTTTGTGATTAATGACTTTTTGTGAAACGGCTGATTTTTTAGCTTTGAACGCCGTTAGGCTTGGACTTCATCACAGCCGCGACACGCCACGCAGTCCATGGATCATAGGCATACGCGTCGCGGCCGTCCCTCCGTCCGTCCGTTGCCGTCGGCTGCAGGCCTTATTCGGGCATCGTTTCTCCCAGGTTTGTCACCAATTGTCCCGGAATTATAGGCTGTCCTAAAATTTTTTTGACGACATAGCTATCTATCGAAAAAACCCGAAAGAGCGGGAAAATAAGCGGGTTTCGTTTTTTGAAATTTAACCTGATTCCATCGATATTTAAGGCTTTTCTAAAAAAACGGTAATTCTTCAGCAGGAATTTCGGAATTAGCATGCCGATCTTGCATAAATCGGCGGTTTTCATTGTTTTTGAACGTAAAATTAGCGAATAAAAACACATAATAACGAAAACAAACCCTCCTTGTTTTCTCGCCTTTTTGAGAGCTTCCGATAGATACCTAAATCGTAAAAACCGGAATTGACTGTGGAAGACTAGGTAGGGGTTTTCTGCAACACCCTGTCTACACGAGACTTTTGGTGCGCGGCTATCTCTCACCTTCCCCTGTGTCTCTGTGAGGCGGCGCTGGGTGGATAGAGGAGAAGACCCGCCCACGTGGCGACGGCACCATGTCGGCTCCCTCGAAGGCTGTAGCCCGGTGGTTCGACTGCTGGGACCGTCAAACAAGATTTTACTCTGTGCTTCTTTAATTATTCTGATGTTCACAACCGCACAAAGCCATGAAATTGAAGATAAAATAGGTGTAGACCCCTTAAAAGAATTTCAAAGTTTTTTTTTGTTTAAAAAACAACTTAAGGCAGAAGTATCGGATCGGAGCAATAGTTACTCCATTCGAAAAGCGAGAAAACGGCGAGTTTGCAACTATCATCAACAACGTCTTTTTATCTGATTGCGACATTTTACACGCCATTTTGCTAAATTTAACCCTGGGCGAGGCGCTTTCAAAATTTTGACAAAATGCGAATGGCTTCTGCTGCCTTTTTACGATATTTTCACGCAGCTTGCCGGTCAAAATCCCGACCTTGAAACAGAAAGAGGATTTATTCAGTCAGTTCAATCGAATCTTCCAGCTTTTCCTTCAGTTTCTGCAAATTTGTGCAATAGATTCGTGCATACGGCAAGTACTCCTCAAAGCAGTTTTCGAATTCGTTTGCAACTTCCTTCAGCTTGGCCACGATTTTAGCACCGTTCTTGTAAACTCCTTGGCCAGAGACCATTTTCACTCGTCCGCTATTTGCCTCCATCAACTCTTTTTGGTCTTGATCAATTTCTGCGTGAATTCCTTGAATATTCCCAAACAGTCCTTCGTAATGCTGTTTCAGGAAGCCCGCGGCATCGGCTTCTACAGTCTTCAATTTTTGCTCCTTATAATCGATGTATTCATGGTTTTTGTGTCCGCGCAGGCAGCAGGATCCGCAGACCGTCATTTGCTCGCACTGGATGCACACGAAGAGATCTTCAATCACGAAGCTTCTTGAGCATCCCTTGCAGATTAGTGCGCCACGACATCCCGGGCAAGCTATTGTCTGGCTAGGCAAGCCCTCGCCTGCACACCATTTAAAATTCTGGCCGCAGTAGTCGCATAGAAGAGCCATTTCATTTTCCAGTTTTGCCACAAATTCACTTTGTCTTGCGTCATCGTATCCTATTTGGGCGTTGTAGGCGTCCACTATGGCTTTGTAACCCAGGATCAGCGTGATCGGGATTTTCAAAGTGGAATCTCGGGCGGAGGAGCAACAGGTAGGTCCGTCCATGCATCTGGCACATCGCCAAGCTTTGCAACTGGAACAGCAGAAGGGCTGTGCGTTTTTATCCTTATCGAGCGGCTGTCTGCACAAGCCGCATCTCAAAGATTGGAAGGGACGAATGACCTTCCAGTCGGCCTGAGCATCCTGAAATTTGAAGTAAAATTCAACAAAAAAATGAGGTTCTTTAGGATTCCTTAGATCAGAAACTATGATGGGGAGACCGACAGGAAAGAGTTGTAAACCAGAAACCGTCGCAATAAAAAACTTACAAGTAGATTCATACAACCGCTTAATAGTTGAAACCAGTGAGTAAGAAGTGATAACGGCGCTCGTTGCAGCAAACAATCCGGGGCCGTATGACAGCCGGGCGATTACGCAGTGTATTTCGCATCGGTGTGTAGCCTAGTGTTAATACCATTAAAAGTCGGCTGACCCATTTTTTTATTAGATGGGTCAACTTGGTTCCTTTTTGTTAGTTTGTTTTGCGAAATTCTCGAAATGGTCTAGTGTTTACATAATGGCACGGAGGCATTCTGAGAGAGACGGAGAGAGAAAGACAGAGAGAGAGAGAGAGAGAGAGAGAGCGAGACAGAGAAAGAGCGACTGATATCGACCGGAATCTATTGAACTAATGAAGGACCAGGGTTGAAAAGCCGCTTCGCGACTTTTCTACCCTGGTCCCGTCTTATCCAATGAAAGTTCTTAATTTGCATAATTCTCGCGAACCGCAATGCCAAAAAACTGATAAAAATGTCTTCGGTTTCTTTATATAGGCTTACCTTACTTCCGGCGCATTCTAGTTGATTCCTAACAAAGGGGATGACCGAAATTTTTACGAAAACCTAATTTAATATCGAACCAGGGTTGAAAAGCCGCTTCGCGACTTTTCAACCCTGGCCCCGTCTCGGACCCCATACTATTCTGCCCTTTGCATAATTGTCCTCCATTCAATCAGAAGACAAAAATGAAAACAACCCTTTCTGCCCCTTTATATAGGCGACGGTCCACTTCCGGTCTAGGCTAATTATTCCTAACAAAGAGGTTTTTACAAAAACCTAAATTTAATAGCTAAAATGGCTAATTTTTGAAAATCTGATATGTGTGCAGTCATCCCTAGACCATTACGCACCAAATGACGTATCATACGTGGCCTAATACCCGTCCCTTCTTGAGATGTCCTCCGGACAGACAGACGGAAGTGGATGCAAAGTGGCACACACACACACACACACAAACACTATTTTTTTTTTTTATATAAATATAGTAGGATAGTAGGATATAGCACTTTTTTTGGTGATTTGGCATATGTGAAGTCGTCCCGAGACGATTACGCATCTAATGACGTATAAACATACACTCAATCTTTTTCTCTATCGAGATACGACTGGCACATACTGACGGAAGTTGCATGCAAAGTTACACACACACACATACACTATTTTTTTTATATATAGTAGGATAAGATTCGAAAGGGCCAGAAATGCACCGTGGAGAAAAAGGGCACTCGAAAAAACTATCTGTCGCTACTTTCGAAACGAAGGCAGGGGTGGTCTCATCTGAAAGCCAAAACCAAAAATACGCTGATAGAATTGCCCCGCTAATTTTTGTCTTCGCCCCTGCAGTCCCATATAGATTTGTATTTTCTAACTGTTTATATCTTATGTATGGCATCCCCTCTTTTAAGGTATTGTTGACATATTTATCATTCCTTTAACACTACAAAGACACATGTTAAATACAAATATTAGACATCCAAAGGCACACATCGACACAAATTAGATACAAATACAAATTGAACTCCAAAATTTAAGAATCCGGTTGCGCATTAAATCGTTCCATCAATCTCGCGGTGTACTCTTTCAACTTTTGAACATTTTCGTTGTATACACGGGCGTGAGGTAGATATTTTTCGAAGCATTTTTCGTAGATATCTGCGACTTCGATCAGCTCGGTGGCCATCTGCGAGCCGCTGCTGTAGTCGTTCGCTTCAGAGATTTTCTGGAATTAGAATTTAGGGTTTAAATTGTTGAATAAAAATGTCTGAATTTTCAAAGTACTCCTAAATAATTAAAGGAGAAAAGAAGCTTTGATTCCTGGCAAATAGACAAAAACAGCCGCAGCGCGAATGCGCGGCATAGTCTTTCACGCCGGTTTTTCACGTGACTTACGCACGTACGAATTTCCAAATTCTGACATCGCGGCTGGTATTCTCAGGCATTTTTTGATATTCTATTTGTTTTATTGATGAAAATTGGTTTTATATGCAACGAAAACCGAGCAATTCGGTATCCTAGAGCGTATTACGACATGTAATCCTAGGTCGCCCGAAAGGGCCGAATTTGCCGAAAAATATATCGTTTTTTCTAAATAGTTGTCCATTTCTCGCAATAGAATTAATGTTTTCCGTACATTTAGACCATATCACTTCGTTTTTACAAATAGGTTCAATCCTTGGGCACTTAAATTTAGACTTCCTAGCCCCTTTATCGTAAAAAACGCCGGATATCGTTAAATCACCGTGCCTACCTTTAAATTACTCGTCGTCGTTCCCAGCAGCTCCTTCTGACTCTTCAAAATATCCTTATGGACGGTGGCGATATTTCCATAGAGCCCTTCGAATCGTCGTGGCAAGTCCCGGCTGACGTTTGCTTCCAGCTCCCTCAATCTGGTGACCTCCAGGTCGACGACCTCATGGTTTCGATGTTCACGTATTATACAGCTCGAGCAGACGACAATATTTTTGCATTGTGGGCAGGCGAATAGGTCTTGCAGTTCGAATTCGCGCTTGCAACGTTTGCATCTGTCTTTGACGATTGGGCCCTGGGTTGAGGGCATGGTTAGGGAAAGCTCGAGCGGGTCGGTGTCGCTGAAGTTGAAGGAGAGGTCGCCTGAAAAAGTGGTTAAAGTTCCAGATGTGCTTTGTTTTTTAGGGTTTTTTTAAGGGTCTGGGAAGTGGCCCCATCCCCCCCGCGTCGATCCCTGGAAGCGAGCGATGACAGAAAACCATCGTAACCTGATCGCGCTCCACAATTACTAGCCCCTGTTTGGACCTAAAAATACGCCAATTTACTAATTCGGAATTTTATTAAGCTGTTGAAATGATAAAACTGTTTTTGCCGTTTCCAATTTTTAAAACTGGCTCGCGGATTTCCGAGATCGATGAATTAGGTCCCCTAGGGAGATTACGACATTTAATGCAGCAATGCCACGCGCCCAGAAACTGGATTTTTATCCGAAAAAGCGGATTTGTGCCCAAATGTTCGGCTTTTTGCGCGGAAAGCACTTGGCGGTACCGCTTTAATTTTGTAACGCACGGCTTTTCTGAGGCATGCGGAATTCAACCCGTTTGTTCGTCAAATCATGACTTACCGCTCAAAGCCTTCCGCTGTCCCATCTCCCACAGTATCTTCTCGCTTGAGTCTTTGTGTTCGTACAAAGGGCCCATACAGAGTTGACAGGCCTTCTGCACGTCCACAAAATCGTAGCACTGCTGGCAGACCATCGTCAGGCAGGACAGGGCGACGATTTGGGTAGATTCCTGCTTCTCGTGGCATCGGTCACAGCGGAGTCCCAGCTGCATCCTTTTGGTCAGGCTATCCCAGCGCGCTTTTTCCTGAAGCGAGACATTTGTAATGACTATGAAATACCACCTTAATGTGTTTCGGTTTCTTCTAACAAAGAGATTTACATACCTTTTCCTGGCATCGCCGATTTTCGGGGCCCTTGACGTATTCTTGAAATCGTTGGATGAGCGGCTTGAATCGGTCGGCGCTCTGGACGGGTCCAGATCGTCCGCAGTCGCAACGCGGATTCGCCGCTTCACAGGAAATGCATATCAGATGCAAGCAGGCCTCGAATAGCATTGGGTCGTGGATGCCTTGGCCTGAAAATGAAACTCCTTGAGTCGAGATTCTTGGCTGGAATTACGGCAAGTATCTCTCCTACTCTCTCTCTCTCTCTCTCCCTCTCTTTCTTTCTCCTCGAACGAGTCGCGAATTCATTATCGAAATACAAGATTGAAGATACGGATTCTGCTTCAAAAATGCAAGCCTTTAACGTGACTGCCTCTTACTTGTAAAAGCTTCCTGACACCGCGGACATTTCCAAGGTTCGATGGCCCCGGTGGGAACCCATCCTTCCCGCGTCTTCTTCAGATTCGACTGCCTCAACTGGTCCATCACACAGACCGCTTGATGTTCCTTCCAAAGTGGCATACAGTTCTGACAATTTGGTCCGCCCCAAGTGGCCAGCGGGCTGTGGGTTCGATTCGGTTCGATGTCGAAGGGCGTCCCGCATTTGGGGCAATTCAGAAATCCGAGGGACATCTGGCCTAAATATATATAAGTATAAAATACATCTTTATATCGATAAAATAGCAAAAATGGTGAACAATGTCTAATTAGTAATATTAAGTATGAAAACAATTAAAATCGGAAGGTTTTAAAGTCTGAAGAGGCAATGTCTCCGTGACAATAATTTGAATCTTTACGTTAACTTGATCGCGTCAAATATAATAAAACGCATTAAATACCACCGGTTTAAACTATTTTCTTCATTTATGAATTTCTTCCCGCCCACAAGAAGCCACTAAACGTATTTTCGAAATTTACGAAAATCGCGAAGTCGAAATTAGAAAAAAACGCCAAAAAACTACGTAATAAATATGTACAATCGGGCTAAAAAAGATTTTAATCGGTTATTATAGATATTTGAATAGGTTTATATCGCCTTTTCGGCTCTACAATCGCTAAAAATATTTTCGAAATTCACAAAGAAACGCGGATAACGTTAAACTAAAAAATGAGGAGCAACTCTAAGTTTTTATAGATATTTTTCAAAGGTATCTAGGCAAAAACTTACTTTGTAGATCGGAAATAGCAGCCCAGCGGAATACGAAAATCGGTTACGCGTTATTTATCGACCGGCCGGCCAGCTGTGACCCTTCTGTGCCTGGCTGGGCGGCAAATACGAAAATCGTGGATCCAACATCACTCCGCCCCCCGGGCGATAAGCAGGCTAACATCTGTAAAGAAATTCAGTAAGAAATTCAGTAAAACTCAGGATAGTGTTAAAAACTCGAAAGCACTGTGCCCAGGAATAACCTGGTTGGACTTTGGCGGAAATATATGGTGTGGATATGTTGGGCGGAAAAATCCACTTATATCCTCTGGAGAAATTTGCGTGCTTTATACTGTATCGCAGAGAATAATGCATTGCTTTTTAATTTAACTACCGATTTGCTTGTGGCCAGATCAAATTCCATACTTCCTGGAATATCCCCAACAAAAACATTTCCAAAATTGGTTCGAAGCTTCAAAATGCCTAAAATTTTAAGCTTTTTAATAAATTGTTCTTGTTTTAAGCTTGCCCCTGAGATTCTGAGTGGCTATAGGCAGTTCGAACTGATAAAAATTGATGTAATTCTTCGATCGGCCTATCTCGCAGAAAATCTGATTTTGTATACAAATTTTACGAATGAACCTCGACGCTACGTTTCCTATTGCGCGACTATTAGATTGCGTATACAGGGTCTCCTAATACAAAAGCACCCTTGAACCCGACGCAAAAGTGTCGGAACGGAAAGATCGTTATATCCATCGAAGCCCTCCAAACGGTCAGCTTGCATCAATTTTCAAAACCAGATTATTATTTAACTGCGTCACCTTATAACGCATTTAAAAACTTTAAAACCGCTACTTCCGGCCATTTTATTTGGGGGCCATGAGGAAAATTAGCTGCAACCCCGAAAAACCGCAGAATCTTAAGTTCTGCACAAGATAGGCTTGGTCTCGAATTCTCGAATTTCCATCCTGACCCAAAACCCTTTACCCAAAACCCCTTGATGGTCGTTGTTTGGCAGAACCATTTAGATTTTGAAAAATAATTCAATCACGCGGATGAAAGCGGAAGCTCCATCGATCGGACCACATTTTTTCTAACAACTTCCTCTCACTGTTTCTTGCCCATTTTCCTACATTTAGGAGCACAAAGTGCGCGATCGGGATGGTTGTCTGTGCGGGCCAGCGAGCGTGTGGCGGTAGAGGAAGTGTTTGCACAGTTCTGTATGTCCTCCTTCTCCTCGAAAAGCACCCCACAGCCCTCCACCCAGTATTCCATCCCGTCCAAACCGTCCCATCCATCCACCAACCATATTTATCGGCCCGTCAATCGATATTTCAATTCTGAAAAATTACGTCTACTCAGCCTGGCAGAATACAGAATATGCCGTTGGGTAGGTCAAAGGCCAATTTAAAGGGAGTGTGACAGCAGGCCAAAATCGAGACATATTTGGCTAACAAGGAGACGTTTTTGAGTATCCAGTCTCGATGGTAACAAGCCTATCTGGTGCAGATTTTTTTGCTATTCAAAACGCATCTCGCAGAATCTGCAAACGACCATGTTTGAAAGTGCAAAGTGCGACAAATTCCCAAAATGGCCCACCTTGACCGTTTTTCGCTATTTAAAACCGCATAAGTTTCTTATTCTAATCGTTTAGCAAATTCTGAAAACACGAGTTTAATCAGCAACAAAATCTGCACAAAATAAAACTGATTGCATTTTGAAATTCCTTGGACTCTTAAAAACGCCTCCGTGTAAGTCATAGCTCGAGCGTCATCGCTTTGTCATTAAGGTATTTCCCAGGTCAAATTGTAAGCCTAAGCCTAAGCCTAGGCCTAAGCCTAAGCCCAAGCCTAAGCCTCAGCCTGAGTCTAAGCCTCGGCCTCAGCCTCTGCCTAAGCATCCGCTGATGTCTAAACCTAAGCCGAGCCCAAGCAATATCCGTTCGCTAATTTTCCGAGCCATTCATGGCGTGTTTTGGAGCGTCGCGTAACTGCCAACATCCAGCAGGCAAAACCCTCGAATTTCGCGCTCTCTAGACCCTTTAAAAGCAATTTAAACATTTTTGGGTTTCTAAAAGCCATTTATTGCATATTTTATCCTTAAAATTATATCTTCACTTATTACCCCTTTCAGCAAGATGTTCGCCAGCCAATTTCCAAGAAAGCTTACAAGTCTCAAAATTCATGGCACTGGCTGGGCACACGATGCTTATGGTAAGCAAAACCCAGCTTTCAGAAATTACCGTTTTTCAGCTGCTCTCAATCGGTCTTCTCGGTTTCGCCATTCAAGTCCTCGTCGAATACGGATATTCGTCACCAATCTCCGGGACGAATAGTTTGAATTATTCGGCCGGCCTGGCGTTGCTGGTCGGAATTTTGTCATTTGCCTCGGCGCCATTGGGTTTTTACGCGACGATTATCCACGATGCAAATTTATTAAAAGCTGTAAGTCTTTTATAGCCATGGCTTTAAAGTCTATGAACGTTTCTTTAAGTTAAAATATACATTTTTTTAGCACATGATGATCGTATGCGTGCTGTCGATGTTTTGCATAGCCAGCCTGGGACTTGGTTATGTAATGCAAAACGAGGTATAAGAGTATTGTCTGTCTAACGTATCTCTTTTGGATACTCTCTGGCTACATGAAAACCTGGGCCAACGAGAGCCTGCAAAGCGAGTACGGCCACCCGGATAACAAGCAAGCGACCGAAGCTTGGGATTCGATGCAAAGACAAGTAAATAACGTTAATGCTACAAATACTATGTAATACAGCAAGATATAAATTTTGCATCTGTACTATTATTCTTGTATAGCTTTAACATACACAATTCGGCCACCTTTAACTTAGGCCGCAAGACAAGACATAAAGTGGGTATTTTGACCATAGAGCTAGCTTGTTCTTAACGCTGTGGCTCGGATTATTCTAGATTTAATGGAAAGCTGGACTTTCTGATTCGTAATTTGCCGGCTTAGACCGTAGGTCATCCAGCGGAAGTAGTAAGTAGAAGTAGGAATAAGTAGTAAGTAGTGAAACGGCTAGTGACAATCATGCTATTTTTCAGTTGGCTTGCTGCGGTATGTCAGAAGAAGGGCCAAAGGACTATCGAACATCCGCCTGGCTACTCTCTCAAATCGAATACCCTCGAAGATTAGTACCAGAGAGTTGCTGTCCGACCTGTGGAACAATTCATGAAAAGTAAGTCAAGTAGAGTGGAAGTCCTGTCGCGCTCAAAAAACCTAAAATCTACAAGCTTTCTGCGTGATAAAAATCAGCGGTTTAGGTTCTGCTACCAGTTCCTGCTCGACAAAGTCTCGATCGAAAATGCTACTCTGCTTGAGAAAGTCTGCATTTTAGGTATCGAATTTTACGCAGTATTTTCCTACGGAGACGTTTTTTAGCTGCCCAAAAATGTGACCGGTCCTCAGAGATATTTCCGGATCCGGAAGTGTGCACCGGGCGAAGAGCGCAGCCCGGCATGGTTCCGGCCGACGCCTACCGACATCAACAGGTACGGTTTCGACTTCTTTCCGATTTTTTACACAATTAATTTCCCCAATTTTAGGGCTGCTACGAACAATTCGAACACGATCTCCTCGCCCACGCTCAGCGGCTATCTATTTTTGCCACCATTTTCGCAATTATCCTTATCATCAATTTTACTCTGACTTTCCGGTTATACCGTAAAATGACTGTATCCCCTTACGTTTCGATATATAGGCCTCGATAAGGTTCATTTTTCTGGTATCGTTTATTCATTAACTTATTCTGGTCACCACTACTTGTCTTTCTCACCCTTACTCAGATAAAATTCGGGTCTGTACAAATGCATATTTTAATAAATTATTTATCCTTTAATCATCGATTTCTTGAGATTCCAAATACTATAAAATACACGTAATATGGATGGTATTCACAAATTATTTCAATTTTTTCGATTCGCCGCCATTGTTATTGGAATCCTTCGAGGGGCTGGATTTTGATGGAATGGATTTTTGAGGGGTAGTAGACGATTTGTTGAGCATTCTCCGGAGATACCTAAAATTGATTAAAAGTTATAGATTTTGATGCTTTCATCAAAGGATAAAACAATTTACGTTAAAACCCACCATCTCGCAAAGGCATACGGTACGTAGAGCACGAAAAATACCGCCAAAATCAGATCCAAACATAAATGCTTGGCTAGTCGGATAAGCGGATGACTGGCTGGCGATTTCAAGGGATTTCCCTGTTGTTGGGCGATGAATTCGATCCAGTGGAGTACCTTAAAAATAGCACAATTTTTTCTGACCTATGTAAAATTTGGTGCCATTAAAAATCGATGCTCACCTCTTCAAACGGAGTATTTTTCCTTGCCTTGAACTCCTTCGACGCCCACTTTGCCTTGTTTTTGAAGCTGAAAAATCGGAAATTATTCTCGATCCTGCTGGATTAAACTTTTAACATCAATTTTCAAGGTTTTCATCAACAAATCGTTGCTCCCACCCCGGTTTTAAAGAGACAAAAAAGCCGATTGGGTGCCGCGCAACCAACACGCGCAGATAGCGATTCGAGTGCCGCTCTGCGTCCCGCGGTACGTGTTGCGTTGCGTATCGCTTGGAGCCTAGAGTTGGGTACAGCGCTGCCTATAGCTTTTACTTGCGTTGCGTGTCGCGCTGCGTTTCGCGTTGCATGCCGCGTAACGTGTCGCGTGCGGCAAAATCCAGACGGAAAAATGACCAAGGATTGCACACTCTTTAAAATGCTATATTACCTTGGGTAATCAAGCACATTCTTGATGGCTGCATAGAGTGTGCTTTCTGTCACGTCCTGCTTTTCAACGACGACGCCCAAGCCCTGAAACGCCTTATTTTTCGGTTTTAGCAATCCCTACCCTGTGCGCAACTTTTCCCATGTTATGCCTATTCTGGCCGTAGAGCGGGATGCCGACCATCGGGACACCGTGGGCCACCGCTTCCATGACTGATAGCATACCGCCGTTGGTGATTAGGAGTTTGCAGGATTTGTGCGCTAAAAAGAGGTTAATATAAAAATGTATTTGGCTGTCTCTCCCTCTCTCTCTCTCTCTCTCTCTCTCTCTCTCTCTCTCTATCTCTCCCTCCCTCTCCCATTCCTTCCCTTACCCAGCAAATCATTCTGCGGAATGTAAGCCGTAAAGTTGATGTGGCTGGGCGGCTTCTCGACATCGACACCGGCCAATTTGATAGTTGGCCCCACTCGCCAGTAGATACGGTATTTCTTGAGCTTTGACAGAGCACCGAAGAGGGCTTTCGCCTGAAATTTTCCGATGATATTGAGGGGTCAATACGATAGACTACCAGATATTCTGGCATATGCGCCGAATTGGCCTGCGTTCCCATCGAAACGATGATCATACCGGATTCTGCGGATTCGATCGAGGTGTTCCAGGGCTGAAAATATAAATTTTAATACGTGTTTGTGTGCCAAGAAGTTGATGGAGGCTTTTTTAAGCGTGCTTTTTGGCTGCGGGGACTTCGACCGATTACGATAGTTTTTAGGCCACAAATGACGATAAAATTCTGGTAGACTCAGTTAAGGCTGTAAATTTCGAAAGACCACAGATCAATGATATTTTTATAAAATAATCTGGATTACCCAGGGCATCAAACGGGGCTTACCGCAAACAACGGCTTCGGATGGTCGATATGCATTCCACCGACTGAAATTACATGGGGTGGAAGTGGTCGCTCGTACTCCAATAATCGATCGGTGTTGGCAAAGAATAGAGATGATTTGCCCTTTAATTCATTGACATCCGGGAATGGCTTGAACCTCAAAAACCATCGTAATGATGATAACTCAAAAGCCAACACTGTGAGTATACCTAGGTAAAGTATACCTAGCATACCTATAAGGTATTAGGTAAAGAATACCTCTTCTTGATCTCATAATCATCAGCAAACATCTTCGTGATCTCATGGTCAAGGTGCTTATATCTAAACAGTGTATTACTTAGAAATCACAGGTATCCATTTCTTACCTCCTTGAGACAATCGACGCCAAAAACGGGATCCGCGACTGGGCCAGGTACTCTTTCAGGATACAGATACCATTGAAGATCCGGTTTACGGCGAGGAAAGGTGTCTAAATAGCGGATTATGCCATGAAAAACGTTAAACTATAAAACGTAATATAACTTATTATCGTAAAAACGTCCTACCGGTCTAAACGAGCAGTGCGAAGATGGGTAGTCCAGACTTGGCGAGGCCCCGGCAGCAACAAGCGTTTCATCGGTGAGTCCTGAAGTTTCAGTTTTAAAAGGACTTGAGCGGGACGACTTTACACCAGAGTTTGATTGACTCTATAGATTACGCCATCAAAAATGATTAAATAAGCCTCACCTTCCTGATCAAAATAAATCACTGGCTTGCCCAGAACGTGAGCCAAAGCCAGTTGACACGGGTTTCCAGCGTAGGCGATCACGACATCGAGCTCGTCTTTCTTGAGTTGGTCCATAAGGTTCGAATTTAGCATCTGGAAATTTATATTCAGATGGCTGAAGCAAAAGGTTAAGGTATCATTTTCATTTCTACACTGCTTACCTTTACACAAGAAGCATTATGCGCAACCCAATAGGGCTCCTCCATCCTTTCGAGCTCATAGTTTTGGCTCCACGGGACGGTGTCACCAATTTTTTCAAGAGGTTCGTAGAGTTTCCTAAGATTTGAAGATACTAACTAAGCCATTGCACTAAAAAAAATATAGATTTTTATGGCGCTAAAAATTTACTTGGTCAACAAGTTCTTCATCGTCTTCTCCCGCACCAAATGAAGCTTCGGCTTCACCAATCGTGGCTCTTCGGGGATTAATATCGGCTTGACGGTAATTACCTAGAGTTTTGTTGTATTTTTGGGCGGGGAAATGCCTTACATTATGGTGTCTCAAGGCCAATTGTTGGGCCAAATATTCGAAGGTTCCGCGCTCAAACTGGTTCGTCCCGATGAGGAATAAAAGTAGATTTAGTGAAGAGACGGTGCCGAGTAATAGCAGAAAGGAGAAGATCGAAAGTAACCGCATTCCTAAAAAAATGGCTTGAAAATGAAATGTTGTATTTAGAGAAATACTCTTGAAAGCAAAATTGTTTTGACTTGCACGATTGGTAAGAAGAAAATTCATGAAATATGGAGGCTTCCACGCAGTAATTTTAAATCTGCTTTATTTAAATTGAATTTAATCTTTGATTTCATTTAGTTGTACGCGTCATTTTGGGTTACAACGATCTTTCCGGGATAGGTAAGGCCGAGATGTGGCTTTTGGTAGCTATGGATTCTTTATCGGGTTTTTTTTCGCGCCCGCGATACGCGACGCGCACCTCTGGAATTTGATTGCGTAAATGGCCAAGGCCTTTGCGCGGCACCAGGTGGTGTATACGTCGTCGGTCGCGTGTCGCGTTGTGTGTCGCTTTGCGGGCCGCGTTGTGGATCGCGCTGAGTGTCGGGTCGATTGTCAAACGCATTCGCGTTGCGCAATGTAATACGTTTTGAGATCCATGAACAAAAGTAGGACTTTCTATCCACGCTCCTTTAAAGTACTCCACTTGTAAATGGGGCTGGATTTTGGACAGCCAAATCCAAAGCTATGGCTTGCCGGCCCATTTAAACCGTATTACCTAGGCATTTTTCACGATTTCCGCTTGTTCCTTAAAATCCAACCGCGGAACTCCCCAATTATTTCTCGCCTACATCCATATCATCGCACAACTTTCGAGAAGTTCCCTCTAACCTCCCCCACCCCCATTTTCCGCTTTTCCGCCCAAAATGATGTGAGCATTGACGAGGGGCCCCCCAGATATTTCCACTTCCCCAAAACGGGAGCACACGAACTAACAAAGCCAATTGGCCGTGGATGCGGGGGGGGGTGGAGGTTCCCCGAAAAGCACAGCAGATTTTTGTGCCCCCAGACCTCGGGATAAGGCGGAGGTGGGCCAATTAGTCGCGTTTTTGTAGGTGCAAAAATAGGTGATTCAGGAGTAGGATGATGTTTGGAAAATAGTGTGTAGTTTGTGGTTGTTGGCGTCCGGACCATCAAAAAAAGGGAGCAAAACGTCGATTTCCGGACGGTTTGCCAGCTAGATCACGTAATGTAATTTTGAGCCGCGTATAATTCGGCAATAAAAAAATTTCGAGCGGCAGAATTGTGATTTGCATATTTAGGGCATCGTCGCATCAGTAGCTAGGATTTTCAGCGAAAATATACCGAATGTCGACCAGCTCCAAAAAAATGCTCTAGTAATCACAAAATGTCCCTAGAATTTTTCTATATGCAGCCAATGCATTCGTTTTTTTTAGTCATGGTTTCTAATACAATTTCGCCGCTTCGCGGCACGCTCGACAGTAGCCTCATTTTCATTGCGTGATGGGTTAGGATCCACAAGCGGCGATCGCGCTGCGTGAAATCGCGTGTCCCGCAAAAATGCACAGGAATTTTCAGGGCTAGAAAAGGCTTAAAAATTCATAGTTCTTCTTCAAGTAGCTTTACAGGAGTGCAGAGATCAGAGGAGGAAGACAAAAATCCGTAGGTTTGTAATTTCCAATTAACGTTCAATTTATAAAGGGGCGCGTAAGCCGCGGTAGGCAAAACTGAAATTTTGGGGATGAAACCTCCACTAACAAATAAAGTTTGATAAACTGATAAGGGTAAAATATAGATGAGTGCTCTAGGCGGAAGGGATCACCTCGGCTGCTCCTTTCTTGAGAAGGTGAATGGGATTGAGAGTGTGGCCACGGGCAAGAGAAGACAGTCAACCATTCCCCCCCCCAGGGCCAGATAGGTAGAGGTACCGGGTGGGTCAACCCGGCACATCAAACATACTGTCTTCACCCTCTCTCTACTCTTCTTAGGGCCAACCGGGAAGGCCCTGACTGTTTGTGTACCGTCAAAAGGAGCGAAAGGGACTCGAGCGGCCTGTGGGCGCAAGGGCATCTTTATCGATGGGGGAGGGGGATCCAATCCGATTGAGAAGTCAATCAATGGTAACGTCAACAAATTGTTAATTTTAGTGTGTTTTGAAACGGGGTTTGCTTATACATCCCAAAAATCCTATTCCCGAAAATTGGTTACCGGAATCGGACCCCCGAAAAAACTCAACTCAAAAACTTCGCCTTGTAAGTTTTCGTTAAGCTCATTAGATTCAGCCACGAATTTAGCAACTACAGATAATTCGGAACGGGGCTTGACGAGACGATGCGGATCGCATAATGCTAAATTTTAGGGCTGCTGGGATCCGCGGAGCGTAACGGAACAGCGGAGTAGCCTGAAACATCTGGCCGGCTCTCCCATTAATTTTGATGGCCGTGAGCTATAAGGCGATTTTGAACAGATTTTTGTTGCTGCCAAGCTTTGCCTTAGCTTTATTCATAGCAATGGCGAAACAACCAGTCATTTCGTTACAGTACTCTGAATACTTTACTGATTGCGTTGGTACGGTAGAGCCGAATTTTTCCTTTAGGCTTAGGTTGGTCTATTAACCAAATATAAAGTGTTTTTATATAGCTTTTAGTAAAATTTAACTATATTGAAAGCAGAATAAGCTTTCAAAAGCTTGAAAAATACTTGAAATTTTCGTAAATTTGGCCAAAAATTTGGTTTTTCGACCTAAAATGCAGTTTCCATGAAGTTTTGTGAAATTTTGTTAAGGCTAACCACACTTTATTATAACAACTCTTCCGGTGCATTTTCACATTCAACAAATAACCACTTTATTGATCAATCCATTTCTGGAGGGTGATAGTCTCATCAGGTTTACGAGAGAGAGGGGCACAGTTCAAGCGAATATTGTACACGGCTGCAAGATGCTTCCAAAAAAATTAAAATCAAATTTTAAAGGGCTGAGAAACGGAGATCAACGTCAGTTTGGGGCTGGCAAGTGAAAGCGAGAAGAGCTGGGGGAGTATCTAGAAATTCTGAGAAGGGGGGCAGAGCAGAGATTCTTTGCACGAGGGACGGCGGCAGAAGAAGCACAGGGGAAAACTCGTTGACGAACAAGCCCTAGTTGTAGCGGAAACGACGGCCCGCACCGCACAACTTCCACCGGCATCGTTTGATCACTTTTCGGGGTCCTGGAAATGGGAAATTAGCGTTTTAAAGGGGGCGCCTGCACGTTTACACCTAACAATAAGCACGCTGCCCGGCATCTGCTTATTTTTATTTTGTCGAAATAAAACTTTGTTCCAATTGCATTTTGCCGAATTATTACTATAGGGAAATTTCAACGCGCATCAGTTTTAATTTGCAAGATCCGAAATGAAGAAGCGAGGTGAAAAAAGCATCGAAATTGCGACAAATTGATTTTTCGCCAAACAACATAAGCCGATGCCGCGCTTCGTGTATAGAAAAAGGGGTGTTGGGTGTTATTTGGCGCATTACGTAGGGTCCAGATTTAGTCCAGAAAAAGGATCGATTCTAAGCTTCCCAGCCCCTTTAAATTGTGGTCTTTTGCAAAATTTGCGATATGGAATCCCACTTCCACTGAACCCGTGTCCTTTTATTTTTCACCCACCTTCACCGTCCATTTCCAATTCTTCACTGGGATTCAATATCCTCCGCAACAGCCCGTCTTCTACCAAAACGAGTTCTTCTGATGAGCCCATATCGTCCTGGAAAGAGAATTTCACAGGTTTGGGATCTTGAATAGGTGTCTTTAAACGCAAGCGTTTATTTATCTTGAAAAAGATATAATCCCCAGAATCTAGAGCTAAGACCACTTTAGTTACAACCTCAAAAAATCCAAATGTCCCATTAACATACCTGTGCACGCGCAAACTGTGCGACGAGGAGGGCGGCCAGTAAGGCGCGCCACATGCCAGGATTAACCCTGAAATGACGTTCCGATGCTAGACATAATTAAAGCAAAATTTCACAAAAATTATTGTCATCCTTTAATCAATTGTAAGTATACAGAGCCTGAACGCCATTCAAAATCGTTGGAAAAATCTTAATTTACTGGAATGAAAAGCTGGAAATCATAGATAGCATTTTTTTGTTAACAGTATTGATTATTCGGAATCCTAATAACATCTGAAAACTCGGGGTTTGTGGACTAAATCGTACAATTTTCAGGGCGAAACCCCGGTTTTTCGAAAAATGGAAGCATCATGGGGCCAATGAGACAAGGGGATAAATACGACGATGTGGAGGATGAGTATGAGTCATTCCCGCCGGGATGAATCTCGAAAAGGCTCCCTCGAGTCAGCCGCCATGTTTGGCTTGGCCCCCGGCCATTCAAGTAGACGACGAAATGACGGTGTTTGGCGCGGCCCCTAGCCGGGAAAGAACGGCTATTTTGTGGGCTGATGAAACGGCAGGCGCAAAGTTTAAATTGGATGTACAGCAAACTACGAAAAAAGTGGAATTTCAGTTGATTATACAGATTTTAAGCGTTATCACGGATGTAAGGGTGTCCCAAAAAACCCCCTCGGATTTGGCTTCTATAGGATCGGGTCAATTTACCAGTGATGGGGTCCCATAAAAACTATGTGCAGCCGAATTTTCTAAGCAAAATATGAAGACAAAAAGTTATATGAAATAAGGTTATGCCGATCTGGATGTGGTGGCCTGAATGTGCAACTGGGGACCCCCGGAGGTTTTTGATTAAATACGTCAAAAAGGGACTTCATCAATTTTATTTCAGCGGGCCGTGACGATTTTGTGATTACTCATCGGCATTAATTGCGCTCGTCGGTACTAGCGTTCCCAATCAGTTTAGCGTACTTTTGTTTTATAGTATTTTGCTTAGAAAATTCGGCTGCACATAGTTTTTGGGTCCCCATCACTGGTAAAAATTGTCCCGATGGGATGGACGGCCATGAGGGGGGTGGGCCTGAAGCTAGCAGATCGGGCTTGGGAAGAAGTGTCATCTTTTCTGACTGCAAATATTTTGTAGCTAGTCGCTTTGGCGAGAGAAAGAGACAGAGATAGAACGCCAGAGAGAGAGAGAGAGAGAGGCGGCGAGAGAGAGAGAGCGAGAGAGAGGGAGAGAGAAATCTAAAAAAAACAGGACGGCTTTTAAAAATTTCCAA